GCACTGCAGAACACAGAGCCGTTTTCTGGCTCCGGGTCCTCGTGGGCGTTCTGATCAGGCACCTGGGTGGTCTCCTCCTGAGGTGGGGGTGAGGCGGTGTGCTGCTCCTGTTTAGGGGAGGCAGAGGGCTGAGGTGGGGCGGTGTGCTGCTCCTGTTTAGGGGAGGCAGAGGGCTGAGGTGGGGCGGTGTGCTGCTCCTGTTTAGGGGAGGCAGAGGGCTGAGGTGGGGCGGTGTGCTGCTCCTGGCTCTGTTGGGGGGAGGCAGGAGGTTTCTGGTCGGGGGAGGCAGGGGACTCAAAGTGAGGGGAGGCGGGGGCCTGTTGGTGGGGTGAAGCAGGGAGCACTTGGCGGGGCGAGGCGGGGGGGCCTTGGTGCTGGTGGGGGGATGAAGGAGGCTCCTGTTGGCTGTTTGATGACTGCTGCAGATGCTGCTGTCTCAGACGCTCCTTCTCTATCTGTCTGGCCTCCTGGAGCTGGATGCAGAGACACGGACACAGACGGAAACACAGACAGAGACAAACACAGACACACATTTCATCATAATGCCTACTTCCTAGCCCTAGATTGTACAAAACATAACCATAGGCCAAACAATTTTGGACCATGCACTGTCAAGCCAAGCACAAATACAATCACAGCACTGGGCATCATTAGAAGTTTGTCATGGTCTCAGGTATTTTGTCTTCTGCATACAGGTCAATATAAGGAAACCAATCACCATGCTGGTAGCACAGATTTCTTTTCTGAATCCAGTTCATTCAACTCATAAATGAGTATGGTTACATGCACACAATAATGCGATTATTGTGGACAGTCAGATTAATATAATAATTTGATTGAAACATTTACATACTTTGCAAGAAGAACGATTTCCCTAATAATCCGGTTTACAAAGACATCTGAAATCAGGCTACCTGATGGCACTCTGATAAATGCAGAAAATCGCCAATCAAAATAAACCTTCTACCACAGCGATCATTTTATTTTTGGGAAGCATATTTGATTCTGAGTTCGGACATAATATTTTGAATGTGAAAACTACTTTTAAGATGCATACATTCAGTTGTTCCGAACTCACTTCACTCACGCTAAAGAGGGAGGCTTGCTCGGCTGGTGCCAGCACATCCGCAGATCAAATACTGTGCACTGCTGGAACACCGATTAAGGTGCTTACATGTCTGAATAATTTGAAATATTGTAAGAAAACCAGGTGTTGTAATCGGCGTACGCTTACTTTGATTGACCTTACGACGATTAAGATAAACAGAGTAAGGTGTTTACATGACTATTGCATAATCTGCCTGCCGCCATAACCAGTTTAATATCAAATTATTCATGCGCATGTAAACGTACTCAATGATAAACACTGTTGCCTTCTTTATTTTTGACTGACATTGTGACATTATGTTTAAATGATGATACCCATCTGTTGAACTCAACTGGCTGCTGACGTCACAGCTCATAAAAGGTCAAGGCATTCAGTGCAACAATACATATACTGACAATGGAAACATACTTAAGGGAATACTATACTGTATCTTCAAAATGCAGGGGGCTTAGTCAGGGTTGGTTCCTTGGTCGGGTCGGCAGCCAGCAGATAGTTAGGCCTGCACGTTTTTACTTCAAAGAAAATCCCACTCGGCAAAGATAGCAGAGCAACGTGTCATGCCAAGATGCACACACACGCCAGAGGAGAGTTCATATCATCAGCCACTTCAACACCAAGCAGCGTAACACAACGCACTTCCCTGCTGCAAGCTTTACCTGACGCACTCGTTTTCTAGACGACCCAGACCAATTAATCCTGTGATTTGAATGCTAGATATCATTGGAGAGTTAAAATAAACTTTAAAAAATCTAATTACTGTGTTCCAGCTTCTTTTCCATCGATGCCAAAATCACAGAAATAGAATTACTAGAATGGGGAAAAAAGGCCTTCAGACTACTGACATTTTACTGGAACACTAATGGGTACACTTAACATGGCCACCGGTCCACCCATCATGGCACATTGACTTGAATGGGGATTTCTCGTCTATCAATTCTTTGTGACGAGAGAGAGATAGAGAGAGAGAGAGAAGCGAGAGAGAGAGAAGAGAAAAGAGAGAGGAGAGAGAGAGAGAGCATCGAGAGAGAGAGAGAGAGAGAGAGATAGAGAAGAGAGTAGAGATGAGATATCGCTCGAGCCTCTCTACGCGAGCTCTATAGTCTCTCTCTCGCGCGCTCTCTCGCTCTCATACCTTAGCGCTCTCTCTTCTCATCGTCTCCTCTCTGCGCTATCTCTCTCTCTCTTCTCTCTTCTCTCTCTCTCTCTCTCTCCTCTCTCTCTCTCTCTCTCTCTCTCGCTCTCTCTCTCCTCTCTCTCTCTCTCTGCTCTCTCTGCTCTCTCTTCTCTCTCTCTCTCTCTCTCTCTCTCTCTCCTCTCTCTCTCTCCTCTCTCTCTCTCTCTCTCTCCTCTCTCATCTCCTCTCTCTCTCTCTCTCTCTCTCTCTCTGCTCTCTCTCTCTTCTCTCTCTCTCTCTCTCTCTTCTCTCCTCTCATCTCTCTCTCTCTCTCTCTCTCTCTCTCTCTCTCTCTCTCTCTCTCTCTCTCTCTCTTCTCCTCTCTCTCTCTCTCTAATCTCGATAGGTTTTGCGCTTACTGCTTGGTTCTCCATTCGTGCAAAGATAACGTTGAGCATCTGTGTGAGGGTGGCCTTGGCCGTGGTCTGGTTGATGAGGTTCTTGCTGGCCAGATAGATGTTGTAGCAGGTCCTGACCGCCTGCAGCACCGTGCCCTCGTGGATCTCGATGTGCTGAGAGGTCACCGCTGTCAGCAGAGCCTGCAGAGGGACAGCATCCATAGAACTAGAATGCTTTATTTCTATGGGTACACTTAAAATGGCTGCCAGTAGACCCATTCTGGCATCATTGACTTGAATGGAGACACCCATTTAACTTATTCTATTTCTATGGCACTGACCTAACAGTCACTACTGCTCACAGTAAACAAGACAGGTTTTTCATGACTGAACACAAAGCATTATAAAATTATGAGAAACCCTGCAGAACTTAGTCCAATTTCATCAAATGTTCAATCATTTATATAATTAACAAATCAATTATGGGTGCCTCCTGTCCCTGAAAATCATGATTTTGATGCCATTGCTTAGAGGGCAGTAATATTGAACAGTCAAAACCAACAACTGAGGAGTATGTCCACTACATACACTACCAGTCAAAAGTTTGGACACACCTACTCATTCAAGGGTTTTTCCATTTGTACTATTTTCTACATTGTAGAATAATAGTGAAGACATCAAAACTATTAAATAACACATATGGAATCATGTAGTAACCAAAAAAGTGTTAAACAAATCAACATATATTTTATATTTGAGATTCTTCAAATACCCACCATTTGCCTTGATGACAGCTTTGCACACTCTTGGCATTCTCTCAACCAGCTTCATGAGGTAGTCACCTGGAATGCATTTCAATTAACAGGTGTGCCTTCTTAAAAGTTCATTTGTGGAATTTATTTCCTTCTTAATGCGTTTGAGCCAATCAGTTGTGTTGTGACAAGGTAGGGGTGGTATACAGAAGATAGCCCTATTTGGTAAAAGACCAAGTCCATATTATGGCAAGAACAGCTCAAATAAGCAAAGAGAAACGACAGTCCATCATTACATTAAGACATGAAGGTCAGTCAATACAGAACATTTCAAGAACTTAAAAAAGTTTCTTCAAGTGCAGTCGCAAAAACCATCAAGCGCTATGATGAAACTGGCTCTCATGAGGACCGCCACAGGAATGGAAGACCCAGAGTTACCTCTGCTGCAGAGGATAAATTCATTAGAGTTACCAGCCTCAGAAATTGCAGCCCAAATAAATTATTCACAGAGTTCAAGTCACAGACATCTCAACATCAACTGTTCAGAGGGGACTGCGTGAATCAGGCCTTCATGGTCGAATTTCTGCAAAGAAACCACTACTAAAGGACATCAATAAGAAGAAGAGACCTGCTTGGGCCAAGAAACACGAGCAATGGACATTAGACCGGTGGAAACGTGTCCTTTGGTCTGGAGTCCAAATTTGAGATTTTTGGTTCCAACCGCCGTGTCTTTGTGAGACGCGGTGTGGGTGAACGGATGATCTCTGCATGTGTAGTTCCCATCGTAAAGTATGGAGGAGGAGGTGTTATGGTGTGGGGGTGCTTTGCTGGTGACACTGTCTGTGATTTATTTAGAATTCAAGGCACACTTAACCAGGGTGGCTACCACAGCATTCTGCAGCGATACACCATCCCATCTGGTTTGGGCTTAGTGGAACTATCATTTGTTTTTAACAGGACAATTACCCAACACACCTCCAGGCTGAGTAAGGGCTATTTTATCAAGAAGGAGAGTGATGGAGTGCTGCATCAGATGACCTGGCCTCCGCAATCCCCTGACCTCAACCCAATTGAGATGGTTTGGGATGAGTCGGATGGCAGAGTGAAGGAAAAGAAGTCAACAAGTGCTCAGCATATGTGGGAACTCCTTCAAGACTGTTGGAAAAGCATTCCAGGTTCAGCTGGTTGAGAGAATGCCAAGAGTGTGCAAAGCTGTCCTCAAGGCAAAGGATGGCTATTTGAAAAATCTCAAATATATTTTGATTTGTTTAAGACTTTTTTGGTTACTACATGATTCCATATGTGTTATTTCATAGTTTTTATGTTTTCACTATTATTTTACAGTGTAGAAAATAGTAAAAATAAAGAAAAACCCTTGAATGAGTAGGTGTGTCCAAACATTTGACTGGTACTGTATGCGTCAACTGTTAGATCAACTAGTTTGGCACAACCCTGAGAGGAAGGGCCTGAACACACCATTGATTAGTGTTATCTGCTCAGTGGTTAGACGACAGACAGACACAGGCCAACAGGGCCAGTCATGCCAGACACAGGATTAACACTGGGGAGGAGAGAAGAGGAGAGGCAGGCTGGGGCTGGTCTGTCTGTCACAGAGAGGAGAGGAGAGCTCATAGACCACACACCTTTATAATCTGCAGCTGAACACCTTCGTCTGTCTGAGGGCCTTGAAAGCAGCCACATATGGTCTCGATGATTCTATCGATTAACCTCTTTCCAGGTGTAGTGTTGTCTGGAGCGTTTCCAGTGAGGTGGCCATAAGCAATGAGTTTCTGGAGAAAGAAAAGTGAGGATAAACCTTACCTTAACTGTGTATGATACAATAATCCAGATAAATACTGTAGACATTTAATAACTTCCATTTGCATAAGATAAGACATATGTTTACTGAATCTGTGTGTGTGTGTGTGTGTAATGTGTGTAATGTGTGTGTGTGTGTGTGTGTAGTGTAACCTGCTACTGACCTGTAAACAATCTAGAGATGTGATGACGATGCGAGGACATTTGGACTGGCAGGCTAACTCAAACGGCAGGAAGTACTTGTCTGCTTCTACGACGGTATCCTTAGACTTGACCGGTGGTAGAGCACTGGAATAAGCATTGTTGTCTCCAGGAGGGGGACTAAAGGGGGAATACAGAGTGACAACTAAATGGTTAAAACATTAGGCCAAACAAACGTCTGAAGAATTCAACCATCTAATATGAAACGTTTGTTCCTCGTGAGCAATGGCCAACTGCCCCCAATAGGCCTCCATGCTACAGTCATATTGATGCTCCTAAGGTCCACTGTAAACATTAGCATTGCTGTGATTCATTCAGGTAGGCAGCTGGAAGTAGAGTTGCGTGCAGACTGCAGAGAAGGTTAGCGAGATCGGGAGGAGGTCAGGAGAGGAGTACCAGTGTCGGCTTGGTGGACACTGTCACAAACACACTTGGTGCATTCCGATTCTCTACCTTTCTCCAGAAGTGTGCACTTGAACACTGCCTCCAATGGAACAATGGTGGAAACTCCCTACAGCCAATGCTTATATCAATCCAATGCTTTCAAATCCATGAGGGGGCGTGTGCAAGTGCACACTTCAGGAGAAGGGTAGAGAATCAGGATGTAGCCATTGTCAGTTAGGTGGGGGATGCTGACCATCAGTACTGAGTCACTCTTCTTTATCACACTTCTCGTCTCGGCTCCATCCTCCCTCTCATTTCCTCAAACTTTAACAAGGCTGGCTATGAAGCAGATAAGCTGAGTCATGTTTTGTAATAAACTTTATTTGTATATTATCTCAGACTCGAGAGGCGTTCATCTCCCCAACGCACATTTGTTTTTGTCAATAAATCAAAAAGTGTCTTGTTTTTAACATTGAGTGAGGAGTGATTAAAGCTTCATAGACTGCTGTGCTATAGTGTGTGTGCCTCAAATGGCAGCCTTTTCCCTATATAGTGCACTATATAGGGGATAAAAAGCTATTTTGGAATCACTTGGGAGTGTGCCTGGTCAGTGTTTCAGCATGGGGTCTGGGGTGGTGACTAGGACTTGTGAGAGTTCAGGTGTGAAAGAAATGAAACCGCCACACAGAAGGCAGCGGGAGATGTGTGGGTCACCGAGCTGCATTGAGCTTCAGTTCACTGGCCCATCTGGTTATTAACCAATCACAACAAAGGGATTGGGGGAGAAAACGAGACACATCAAAACAAACCTTGACATTATTTACTACAGATGACATTTCACACACACACACACACACACACACACACACACACACACACACACACACACTATATCTCAAAATAAACCTACCTCAGTTTCTCTGTTTCTTCTTTAATTTCCTCTGTAAACAGAAAGAGAGAAACAATGAACCAAAGAGCCATGATATTGGCCCTGCATGACCTGTATGATGCTGCTATTACTACATGAACAATTATCAAGGTCAATACATCAACAGCCAATGTAATACCCCAGTAGTAGAGAGCTTCATTACATGAAGGCATGGGCACTTTGTCAAATTAGCCCATGTCCTCCACGACTATAAATTCCTGCCCTTGACCTTCATAGAAGATTAGGAGATTTGAACACTCCATACAGATAATGAAGTAGGCTGGCAATCAGGGTTTTGTCTGTATAGAGAAGCATTTGGAGGGTCGCCTAAGTGTTTTTTCGGGCCGCCTAAGTCCAAACAGTAGAAACGAGAAGGAAAAAAGTGTTTTTTTGTAAATCATTTTCAGGATGGTAAATAATTTTCAGTGTAAACTTAAATGACTAAAAACAGATATAAAGTATGTAGAAAAGATCATATACCTATTTTTTTTATAAGATCATCTTGGGGAAATAACAAATCACCAAAATAAATACTAGACAGTCAGGGAGCATCTAAAATTACAAATATTATGCATTCAGGAGTATTTTTGGCATGGCATGGGGCCCCTATTGATTTTGTTCTAATGTTTGAGTCCCTCAGATAGCATAAGAACAAGGCATAAGGCATGACAAAATGTGTAGAATTTTGGAAATTAGCTTTAAAACAGCTACATTTTGTCTCTGCGGTTAAGGGCCTCTAAAATGTCCTGTCGCAGACAGCGGCATTGGCCACTGACACTGTCACGCCAATCACCTAAGCCCCATTTTAATCCAGCTAAAAAAAACTCCCATTACAATTACAGTTGAGATGCTCTGAGTCTTTGAACAGGAGAAAAAAAGATCCAATACTGTAATATAATATTACATATCTCTGCATAGGAGCTACTGTCCATTTCATGAGTCCTTCATGAGTCATGATGAGATCATCACCAATGGCCTCATGTCAGTGACATCATCACTCCTAGCCTCCACCAACCAGCCAATCTATAACCACAAACCAACTCCCTACATAGTTCAATACTTTGGACCATGGCAGATACAGAGATACCCTCCACTCCTCCTCCATCATTTACATTACAAAGTAAAGGGAGGCACCGACAGCTAAATAGCGTACCAGACTCAATCAATACAGAATGAAAATTAACTAAATAACTAGCCTAGTGTACGGTGGAATGCAGAAGACACAAATGCACCCCCATGACATGTCAACCCCAAAGGCAATCAGTAAACAATCTGAGAAAACATCTGCACCATATTTTACCCCCAAAACCAAGTAAAGAGGCAGCAGGTCATCCAGGCATTTAATGCGGCTAATGAAACATCCAGTATCTGTCTGCGACTCCACGGTCGAGCAGCCAATCTACAGCCAGTGAAGGTGAGGTTGGGGGTCATGGTCATCATCTACTAGGTTTAATCTTGGATGGCAGCCATCTTGTAATGTTATTATCATGATCTTACACTGCAGATGATGGGGGTTATGGGTGCTCATATGGAGGGTGGTGGTGTACAAAGACCCTCTGTTTTAGTTCAATAAACCACTTCTCAATTGTTTGGAAAATACTTAACTGCATCCCAAATGGCACTCTATTCCCTATATAGTGACCTACTTTTGACCAGAGCCCTATGGGGTGCTATTTGGGATGCATGCTAAAAGTTAAGAGTGAACTGTTTAAAATATCACTATGGACAACACATTCTCCTTGACCATCTACCTAAATGTTCACTTGAATCTACAGGCTGATCACAACAAAGCTAAGGTAAAATATATTTCATTATAACATAGATACAGTGCTCCCCTATTATTTAGTCTCTGCCAACTAGGAGAGGGAGAGACACAGTTCAAACACTAATAAGCTGACTACATCCGCTCTCAGTTCATCAACGTTGTATCAGCATGCTTTAGATGTCTAGAGATGAGATGACAGCCTCTACTGAAAACAAAGATCATCATAGCTCCACTGTTTGTACTGTATCACCTGGAGAGGGGGAGTGAAACGAACTTCAGTGTGCTTCTAACAGTATAGCTTCCTCCACTGTCCCCGTCCCCATACCTGCCTCGAACCAGTGAGAACACAATCCAGTGTACGTCCCAAATGGCACCCTATTCCATAATGCACTACTTTTGACCAGAGCCCTATGGGCCCTAGTCAAAACTAGTTCCCTACATAGGAAATAGGGTGCCATGTGGGATGCAAACAAAGAACAGACTTCAGACGTGTTACCCCTCTCATTAACACTGCAGGTGAACAATAATTAATTAATCAGTGGTGCCACAGCAAATAATACATTATTTATTGAATGGGTTTCTAGTCTTGAGACGGAAATTAAAAATAAAATTTTCCCGAATTATCAAGACTGGACACGTGTGCTTTGGACATCTGCCTTCAGCAGGGCAAAGATTAATATTTCACTTTTGATCTACAGTATACTTAGGAGGGTATAAGCGATGCATGATAGGCAGTGTGTAAGTCTATGTGTGTCATACGGGTCATTCCATGTCATTTCAGCAAGCCATGGCACCCACCATCTCAGATTGTTCTGAAATGGTTTCTGCAGTTAGAAACAGATAAGATAAGTATTCCGGCGACCAAAATATTTATATATAATTTGATCTCTGGAAGATTAACTAATTGATTGCACCTAAATTGGCCATTTTAATTTATAGGACTGATATTATATTAAATATAAATAGTACCCACTAGCTTTTCCCCCCTGTTCAGAGAAACTAGTCATTGATGTTGTTAGGTTTATGTCCCATAATACATCCTGATATTACCAGGTCTTACCACTAGATGGTGTTGTTGCTGCTATTAAGTGAAAAAAGTGTGAACAATGTTAAAGGGATAGTTGACCCATATGACACAAATACATATTGGTTTCCTTACCCTGTAAGCAGTCTATGGATGGCAAGGTTTTTTTTTTTTTTGCTTTGCGCACACACTTGTCTGTGGTTCACACCTGTCTGTTGTGAGCTAATGAGTCCTGCAAAAGGGGCAGGTGCTGCCCCAGACGGGAAGTAAAGGAAGTGTGTGCGCGCAAAGCTAGAACAAAAGATTGGCATAATTAAATAATTAATCAGAGGTCTAATATTGGGCTAGCGAAAATACCCTACTATTATGTCAGTAACTGTTATGGTTGCATCCCAAATGGCACCCTATTCCCTTTATAGTGCACTACTTTTGACCAGGGCTGTGACGATTATGGAATTTTGAGTAACTATTAATTGTAATGGCCATGGTTATTGTCATAATTATTTTTGATGGAAAATGTTTTGAGCTCATAATATATCATAATGCATCTTTGAAAATTAGCTATGACACACCTAATGAATACAATACAGCTTTGGTGACACCCCGGAAATAAAGCTTCTCCTACCGACCATGCTGTTCTGCTCCTAAAATGATGACTAACTTTATCTTATTCATGTAAAAAATTAAAACTGCTATTGGGTAAACTACTGTATACAGTGGGGGAAAAAAGTATTTAGTCAGCCACCAATTGTGCAAGTTCTCCCACTTAAAAAGATGAGAGAGGCCTATAATTTTCATCATAGTCACGTCAACTATGAGAGAAAAAAAATCCAGAAAATCACATTGTAGGATTTTTAATGAATTTATTTGCAAATTATGGTGGAAAATAAGTATTTGGTCAATAACAAAAGTTTCTCAATACTTTGTTATATACCCTTTGTTGGCAATGACACAGGTCAAACGTTTTCTGTAAGTCTTCACAAGGTTTTCACACACTGTTGCTGGTATTTTGGCCCATTCCTCCATGCAGATCTCCTCTAGAGCAGTGATGTTTTGGGGCTGTCGCTGGGCAACACGGACTTTCAACTCCCTCCAAAGATTTTCTATGGGGTTGAGATCTGGAGACTGGCTAGGCCACTCCAGGACCTTGAAATGCTTCTTACGAAGCCACTCCTTCGTTGCCCGGGCGGTGTGTTTGGGATCATTGTCATGCTGAAAGACCCAGCCACGTTTCATCTTCAATGCCCTTGCTGATGGAAGGAGGTTTTCACTCAAAATCTCACGATACATGGCCCCATTCATTCTTTCCTTTACACGGATCAGTCGTCCTGGTCCCTTTGCAGAAAAAACAGCCCCAAAGCATGATGTTTCCACCCCCATGCTTCACAGTAGGTATGGTGTTCTTTGGATGCAACTCAGCATTCTTTGTCCTCCAAACACGACGAGTTGAGTTTTTACCAAAAAGTTCTATTTTGGTTTCATCTGACCATATGACATTCTCCCAATCCTCTTCTGGATCATCCAAATGCACTCTAGCAAACTTCAGACGGGCCTGGACATGTACTGGCTTAAGCAGGGGGACACGTCTGGCACTGCAGGATTTGAGTCCCTGGCGGCGTAGTGTGTTACTGATGGTAGGCTTTGTTACTTTGGTCCCAGCTCTCTGCAGGTCATTCACTAGGTCCCCCCGTGTGGTTCTGGGATTTTTGCTCACCGTTCTTGTGATCATTTTGACCCCACGGGGTGAGATCTTGCGTGGAGCCCCAGATCGAGGGAGATTATCAGTGGTCTTGTATGTCTTCCATTTCCTAATAATTGCTCCCACAGTTGATTTCTTCAAACCAAGCTGCTTACCTATTGCAGATTCAGTCTTCCAGCCTGGTGCAGGTCTACAATTTTGTTTCTGGTGTCCTTTGACAGCTCTTTGGTCTTGGCCATAGTGGAGTTTGGAGTGTGACTGTTTGAGGTTGTGGACAGGTGTCTTTTATACTGATAACAAGTTCAAACAGGTGCCATTAATACAGGTAACGAGTGGAGGACAGAGGAGCCTCTTAAAGAAGAAGTTACAGGTCTGTGAGAGCCAGAAATCTTGCTTGTTTGTAGGTGACCAAATACTTATTTTCCACCATAATTTGCAAATAAATTCATAAAAAATCCTACAATGTGATTTTCTGGATTTTTTTCTTCTCAATTTGTCTGTCATAGTTGACGTGTACCTATGATGAGAATTACAGGCCTCTCTCATCTTTTTAAGTGGGAGAACTTGCACAATTGGTGGCTGACTAAATACTTTTTTCCCCCACTGTATCTACTTGAAAATAAAGTTGAAAGTTGAATTCTCTCCTAAAATGAATGCGTTAAGATGATTATTTTCCTTAGTTCACGGTTATTGTCGGTTACACGATAATACGATTATTGTGCCAGCCCTACTTTTGTCCAGGGCCCATAGGCCTCTGGTTACAAGTAGTGTATTTTATAAGGAATAGGGTGCCATTTGACATCCCCTGTCTAGTTTTGTTCATCAAATTCAAATGGTAATCCTGAATGAAAATAATGTTTGTACCATGTTTAATCTCCTTAGAGAATTCAATCAATTGCAATCAATACCATATTTGCATTTGTGTGATCTGCCCATGTAAACAATGAATCTGCCAATGTAAACAGTAAACATTGACAACATTATTAACACCGGCTTTGGAAGGCACAGGGGATACGGTTGGGGTCACAATGTGGTATGAGTATACCACCCCTCTCATTCTGCGCCCTCTCCTAGGCTACAACGCAGATGACAACAAGCATCATAACAAACTACATATCTGGTAGTGATCTTGCTTGATTTCTGTTAAGCTAGTTTACGGCTCAGTATTTGAATCGAATCTCGATTCTGCAGCGCAGCAATGCTTGTTTAGAACGCATTCCATATTGATGCTACAATGTATGCACTTCATGTTTCGAACCGGGGAGTTCGTGGCATGCACGAGCCGATGTGGGTGCAGTAGCACGATGTGTAGCCAATGACAAATGATGATGACATCCCAAACTAACACATTGTTGTCACAATTAAACTCACCTAGTGACACTTCACAGGCTTTGCGCAACTGGGAATGGTGAGCTTTTTTCACCTCCTTATCGGCTAAAATCTTCTCCAGTGCTCGGGTTAAAAACATGTTTTTCGTTTGACTCTCATACATGATGTGATGGAACCGTAGTCAAAGCTGCTGTCCCGTGGACAGAAAGGTGTTCTTGTAGTCTTCGTTTTTTTAGCAGAGTCTAATATAGGAGTACTAAGAAGAAACCAAAATATTATTTATTCCAGAAAGGAAACCCCACTCATTTCTATTAGCAAACTGTCAGCGCCATGTTGAAAGGAAGCAACGTCATTCCGTCACTTACGTCCGCGACTACGCAATGAGAATATTGTTACTGCAGGGTGGGGGGACAGAGCAACAACTTTTGCACCACTGTGGACCACCACTGTCCAGTTTGATCAATGTTCCAGCATTGTTTCACTGTATTATGCCCCCCACATAATTAACCATCTATCAAATAAAAGGTAACTCCCATGAAATATGATAGTTCACCCAAATAAATTGTTTTACATATTGGTTTCCTTACCCTGTAAACAGTATATAGTTAAGACCGAGGTAAAGACAGTTTCAGGTTTCAATAGCTTTCAAACCACTTGAGCCACAGACTCCAAATAAGTGTCATGATGTTGGAAAAATTGCTCACAACATTGCACAGGTCTTATTTTCACGATTTGGACATTAATTCGCTTTCCACAGCTAATAAACATGTGGAAATGCGAGCAGCATTCCATATTCCTAGTTGAATTAGTAAGGGAGCGTAAACAAAGTACAAACTTTTTTACATTCAAATTTCAATCGCTCCTTGGTCATGTGACCTACTGACCTCAACCAAGGTTCAGAATGTCCACTGACTACCGTTCTATATTGCACAAGCTTTTGTTTGTCCCTTTTCATCTCACACGATTTTACATACATTTTTCAAAATTTTAAATTTCAATAGCTCCTTGGTCATGTGACCTACTGACCTCAAACAAGGTTCAGAATGTCAATTGACTACCCTTCTATATTGCACACCCTTTAGTTTGTCCATTTTCATCTTACACAATTGTACATGAATTTTCGATGGTCCCTAGACTCCTTTCTAACAGTCCTCAAGCTTCAATACGATGGCCAAAGACTGTGTAACTGTTGAAATTCCGAGTTAATGTTATAATTTTTTGTAAGTCTTATGGTCGGGCATAAAATGTTGTCTCCAGTTTCTTGCTTTCTCAGGTCCTGCTGAGTGGACAATATGATGCCTTTTCAGTGTAGTTCTATTCAGGTGTCATTATGTTATAAACACCAGGCCACCCCCCTCCCGTTTCATAACACCCTCTCACCTTCTACCATTTGTCTACACTCCAAGAACCATGAGAGCCCTCTAGCTGTAGACGCCCCCAGATCCATGACAACTGACATTCCCATATCCATAGCCTTCTTCCCAGAGACACCCTCATGTCTATTAATCTGACAGGAAGGATGGGTAAAGACTCACATGTGGCAGCACAATACAAATTGAATATCGGGACCAGTTTGTCTGAGACCCCTACAGAGATAATATGTACTGTATTGTAACAATACCTGCAGGATCGCTTTGTTCTGTATGCAAAAGTGCTGAAAAGCCCTGTGTTTCTTTGATGCTGACTATAAAGATTGCCACGTTTTCTTACCAGATCAGAGATACTTCGGTAGAGGGTATATGCTCTGCCAATTTGTCTGTCCATTTAGGAATGTTGTGTGTATTTGTGCAACAAAATCCAGAACTCAACCTGAAGCTTTTCTCCAAAACACCTTTCTTTCTTCTCTATCAACCATAGGCCCTTATGTTTGGTTCAACATGTCTCATATTCTTCACCAGTGGTATATTTATTTCAAATGTGTGCTCATGTAAGCAGGCCACTAGTACTTCAAAGACCATTAGTTATTTTAATGGAGGACAACCTTTAGATTTCTTACATCCAATTTCTTGAATAAACCTGTAAACCTTCACATCTGAGTATTTGCAGTAATCTTCTTTTGTCATAAATGATTAATTATTCTATATTAAAACATTTTTATAAAAGTTAGAACTACACAACTATCAATGACATAGCAGGCCCATCTTCACCTGTAACTACATTCAACTTTTACAAGGTAATAATAAGAAATACACTAATAAATGCTTTTCAAATGCTTACATATCTTAGGAGCGAATTATTTTGTCTTTGAAGAATTAGAATTCCTAAAGTGTTTTATGAGTAATTTAGAATGTCTATATGACTCTGCTTTTTCCCTTGGGAAAGCTGTCGTGGTTAAGGACAATGTGGTCTTTGATAAGATGACAGAGATGCACATTTGCCCAGGCCAGTAAGCAAATGGTCAGCTGGAGACAGCAAGTCTGTTTGCCACCAGAGAGATAACAGTTGCTATTGCTGAATGATACAGGCACCGTCATGTAAACAATCTGGCAATGTTTATAGTCAACGAACAAAGCAACACAGGTTCTTCTATTATGAATATTCTTTAACAATATGCTTGAACCAGATGCTTTTACCCAGTCGGACTGGAGACTGTGCTTTTCCATGTTAATGTAAACAACTATCTGTCAAATGGCCCACAGAAACTATATAGTCTGAAGCTTCAATGTAGCTTGTAGGTCTAAAAGCATTTTTGTCCTTACTATGTTGAAATATCAAAGACTAAGCTTTTTGTGTGACACTGGTAAGTCATTTCATGTCGAAAAGCCTTGTTTTCCCTGGTACATAAACGTATACTACTAACTAGTTCTGTTTAATTTGACTTTGCAACATAAAAATCTTGTTGGCAGCGATAAAAACACTTTCACAGCTGTATGAATGTGAATAAAGAAATACTACAGCTCAGTGCAATGGTAAATGTTAAGTCAGCTGTGGGATATGGACAGTAGAGGCGGATGCTGTTGTAGTGACAGTAGAGTCATCACTATTTTCTGGACTTGTTTTTTGATGAGGTTCACAGCACTGGAGAATGACCTGGTTCTGGTCCAGATGTACCGGACTCATTTGCCTGAGGGTGGCCTCTAAAATAGTGAATAAACTGTACAGTTGGCCTATGACATCAGCTCATCTACTGTTTAATATATGACTGTGGGCCATAACTACTTGAGGCTGATAAGGGCTGCCCACACGGGGCCAATCGTGTTGGGTCACACATCTGGCAATGAGCGAAATCCATTGGTCCCAGTGCATTGCTTATATACAGACAAACATAAATAAAACGCTCCTACTTTTCTCCTTCTAACAAGTAACCCTGATCCATATGACCATCCTTCTCATATTAGATTATGACAATGTCATTTCTAGAACTGCAGGGAAGGGTGCTCCGGAGGGCCTTGATGCTCTGTATATCTGACAACTTTGCCATAAACACTCTGCAACTTATGTTTGCTTGTACACTGCTCATCCTTATGCACTCCATGCAATACTTGCTGTTGTTTGTAATAGTTATTGTCATGTTTTTGTCCACATTTGTTTGGAAATACGTGTAACTGTCCTTTGTAGTTGGCGCATACAGCTGCATGGTACTGTGACATTAGTTGTCATGTTGTCCACTAAGCTGGTTGTGTTTAGTATAAAGCATACTTTTAGAAGTTTGTTTAATATTTGCATTGGTCACCCAGCTCTTTGCCTCAAGAGTCCAGTTTGCCTTTCAAAGCCCTGGGACTTATTAAAAAAGGCCACAGAAGCTCAGAATCAGATCTGTGGAAAAAAGGTGGAGGGAGAGAGGCAGTTTTGCAGGCCTTCATTTCACATGGGTGTTCAAAAAAAGAAGTGGAAGTTAACAAATGGTCCAGCCTCGCAATAACTATCTTTCACATGGACACTGAAAAGATCCGGAAATGGCTGTATGTGGTATGTGTGACGAGTACTGAGGATACGAAGAGGCAGGACGCAGACATCAACAATGTAAAGGTTTACTTAACACTGAGCAAGAGAACAACAAAGAGCGAGTACACGACATGACACTAACAATCACACACAACACAACACTGAACAGTCCAGGGCTATATAGGGGTGGTGATGAGATGATGAGGTGCAGGTGTGCTGGAGGTGATTAGGGTGCATTGGGTTTCCATTCCGGTGTTGCCGAGGTGGTGCGCTCAGACCGGTGGCTCAGTAGACAGGCGAATCAGAGCGCCGGAGGGGAGCAACGGGAGGAGACGTGACAGTATGGAGCAAGGACAGGAGAGGTGTTCGAACAGAGGTGCTTAAAGGAAGGCGCACATGTAGGCCTCATAAAAAACAATGTTTCATGAACAAGCATACAATTCTCTGTATGCTCATCGTTACTGGACCTCTCCTATGTTTTGGAGAATTTTCATATGCTCTTTTTAATTACAGTAATAGGCAGTGATTTGTCAGTCAGAGTGAGCTTGATAACGTGAAAGAATCCTTTTCATAGCATCACTTTCATATACATTAAGACAAATCCTGCTACTGTGAGTATTAGCACGCAGTTTATCATTGACTTGATATTTGAGTGTATTCACAACAAGCCACCTGCAGACAGCTTACAAAATGCAGCAGTGCATTTGAGGGTTACTTTTTCTGATGAAAATAGTTATTTGATGCATGGCCTACTATTTCTAACTGGAAAAATAAATTCCAACATCTTTTGTGTAACACCAAAATGTATAACATTCACACCACAACTACACGTTGATACTACAGATTGTTTCCTGTACAGTGATCAACTTACATTTTGATAGCTTTTTGTATTTCTGAGTGACGTAAAGGTATCAACATAGTGATTAATTAACTTTTAATGTCATTACAGAAAACATACAACAACAACAAAATGATTGAGTTAACAACACTTTAGAAACAGAGCATATCATGAAACTAGCTAATATAGATGACAATTGAAAGGGAAATATTGATGATGGACAGAAATTCTACTACATCTGGATACATGCAGCACCTCCAAGTCGAGCCGTTTGGCGTTCACTTGTACACAGAAGAGGGTTTAAAGATCCTAGTTGAACATCTGAGAAAGCGCAGTCCAGTGACTCTTCATCTTGATGCCACTGGTGGGGTTGTGTCTAAGAGTTCTGTACTATGCTCTGGTTCTGCCCGGAATGGGCAAGGATAAACCATCCCTCCCCG